TAGACATAGATGTAGAGGTGAATATTGAGGGAGCGAGTGAGGAGACCAGTGATCCACACACAGAGCCTAAAGAACTAATCCTGCCATTAGGACCTTCCCCAAGAGACACCCCACCTTCCCCTGGAAAAGGTCTGTAAATCATGACAATAGTTGCATGGCAGTACATACTCTGTCTATGATGTTTTTTCGAGGCCGTGCTAGACAAATACGATAAGAAGGGCACTCTCTTTCCCACACTAAGGAGCGTCTGCAGGTCGGAAATGGAGGGAACTGCCTGAAAGAGGACGGGTGCTTGCAGAAGACAGCGAATCCACGCAACGTTCTGCAACTGATTCTGTCTGCTAGAAGCAGTAATCTCCCTTGAGAGGTGAAGCATGTCCTTGTGTGAGTTGTGTTATGGCCACATGACTGTTATGAACTAACCAAAGAAGCTCGATGTTTCCAAATGAAATGTAGGGAGGCATGTCCAATTGTCTTAACTCATCAACAGGGTGGGTAGGGGGTTTCCAATCTTAATCGGAGCTGTTCTAGTTTGTGTTATACCGATTTTAAAATGGAGGAAATATTAACTGTCCCGACTTTGGTCAACAGTTTGATGGCTTATGGAAATAACTGATCGCCTCAAGGAAGCCGTGAAAATACTGAGGTGGTATGCAAGAAACCCCTGGAGAGCTCCTCCAGGAGTGCACCCACAAACTCACTTTCCACCCACCTCCATAAGTGCCTCCTATGACTACCAGTCTAGTTTTGTTTTCCATTGTTTTTTTTAATGTTTACATGATATTGCCGTTTTTGCACAAGTACTTGCACTTTAAAAGTGAAAAGCACATTTGCACTATGTGGGGTCAGCCTCCACCCCCTTATTTCTTGTTTTTTTATACAAGACCTATTTAGGGATTATATCTGTCTATGTGGACGGCGGAAGACAGGAAGGCCTGGCGGGATCTGGTCCATGGGGTCGCGAAGAGTCGGACTCGACTGTGCGACAACAATCTGTCTATGTATATGTAGCTGCTTGCTATGTCTGTGTTCACTGTTTGTTGAAATAACTAGTTTATAACAAACATTCCTGTCTCCCAGTTGTGGCCCTTGGGAAGTTATAAATATTTGTATGAAAAATACCATTAAGACGAGTTCCGGTCGATGGCGGCGCACTTGCGGACCTATTTCCCGGACCTCCCGGGATCGGTCTGTGCCCCAGCCGGGGGAAGGGGCCACGCAGGATCGTGGACCCCCCAGGGCTCGGGGGAGAGTCCAGGGGCCAGGGAACTTTAAAGAGGCGGCCTCTTCAAGGGCGGAATGCCCGAGAATCGAGGTGCTTCTTTGTTCCAGTGGAGCCGTACGGCACAAGCAACGCTGGCTGGGGCAAGCGAAGAAGATCCAGCATTTTAAACGAGCAAAGAACGAGGTCGGAAGACCCGCAATGAACGTGAGTCAGCCTAAGCGATTTCTTAACTAAAGAAGCTCCCCAAACCCCTAAAAGCTAAACGGAGGAGGCGAAGGGTGGGGGGGACGCCTCCCACGCGACGCCTATAAACGAACTGTGAAAAACGCAAAAGGGGGGGGAGCGGAAGAAAAAGGCAGCGAGACCTGTCTAGAAGCACTTACCCGAGAGGCATCTAACGTTCAGGCGCTTATTCAGAGACTTTCGTGTAATCCAGAAAAGTAAACAATTGTATAAAATGGCGGGGAAGAAGGACAAGGACAGACTTTTTAAAACAAAGGGACCAGAGAGTCCTCGGACGGAAGTGGCTAGCGAGACAGCTAAAGCTGTAGCTGAATGCATGCGCCCTCTGCTGGAGCAGCTGAACACTTTTAAAGAACAGATGGTGAAGGTGACAGAAGGCATCACTGCAACTCAAACGCAGATGGGAGAAATGATTCAAGTCATGAAACAGGATGCTGAAAAAATAAAGGAGGTGACAGCAACCACGAAAAAAGTTAAAAAGAAGGTGGAAAAGCTGGAAGAAAACACATCATCCTTGGAAGATCAGATGCTGCAAGTACAAATGGATAAGGCCAACTTGGTTCTTCGCTTTCAGGGCATACCAGAAAAACAAGGAGAGAGCCTCAGAGAATTGATGTGTGAACTGCTAGCCCCAGTGGCAGAAATGAGTCCAGAGCTATTGCTAAACGAAATGGATGTGGTCTATAGATCATATTCTAGATATATATAAAAAAATAATCTGCCAGGGGAAATTGTTGTAAGATTCTCTAAGAGGCATGTGAGGGATGCAATCTTGAAAGCAGTGTCTGGAACTCCCTTGAGAGTGGGAGAAAGTGTGGTCAGAACACTTAAAGACATTCCATTTGAAGTGAGGCAGCGTAGAAAGAAGTAGAAGGAACTGGTGCTTTTTCTTCAGACCAATCAAATTGGATATAAATGGCTGTATCCGGAAGGAGTCACCTTCAAGATGAAAGATAAAAAGGAGAAGATTTATTCTGCCTTAAAAGCAAAAGAATTTCTGAAGATTCAGCTGGGGACAACAGAGGAGGAACAAAAAGAAGAGGACAGCAAGTCTAGTGGCGAGCTGGACTCTGACTATTCCAGAGAGGACTCACTGGATAAAAAGGGGGCGGCTGCCCCAAAGAGTCCTTATAAACTTCGGAAAAGGCGTGGAAGAGAGAAGTAAAAAGGCTTGAAGGACTCTGAATTGTGCCTGAGAAGATGATGAAGAGAGATGGCTGGGGAGGGTCTTTGTGGCTAGACAGGGAGGGGATAGAAAAGAAAAGATATTGTTAACAATGACTCAGTGTGTTCAATGCTAAATAGAGAAGAAGGTTAAATGTAACTTAGCTAATGAAGATCTTCTTTCTTGGGGTTTTAGTTAGATGTGGGTTTCTTTTTCTTTATCCCGTATATGTAGTCCCTTCCCTGTTTTTCTGTAGTAGTTTTTGTAGTTGTTAAAAAAAAAAAAAAAAAAACCCTTTGGGGGCTTAAAAAAAAACACCCATTAAGACAAGAGGATTTGCAGAGTGCCCCGCAACAGTTGGGATTATGGGCTCCTCCATTTCTTGTTTCCACAATCACAATCGCTGCAGACTCACCACCTGATTCATTGAGTGACCCCATGCTCACAGCTGTCATGCGTTGTGGCATTTTTTGCATTAAACATTTCCTCCCTCTTTTGAGTCACCCTGTATTTTTATTATCACTGGGTTACTTTTAAATTCTAGATTGTTCAGCTGTCAATTCATTTTCCCACCTCTGTTTCTGCAGGGTATCTGGATGCTGTTTCCCCACAAAATTTAACCGCTCACCTGGCTTGACCCCATAGTAGAACAATGTAGAACATATCCTTTGGAGTAATCCCCACCCAAAGTGGGCCATCTCACAGCACGCCTCCTTCCTTATTTGGACACTCTCCCCACTCTCAATCTGCCACCAGGGAGGGGGGAGGAGGAGGAGATTGGGTTTATACCCCACCCTTCACTTGGAGTCTCAGAGTGGCTTACAAACTCCTTTCCCTAAACAGACACCCTGTGAGGTAGGTGGGGCTGAGAGAGTTCTTTCCAGAACTGTCCTTGAGAGAACAGCTCTTGTCAGAACTATGGCTTGCCCAAGGTCATCCAGCAGCTGCAAGGGGAGGAGTGGGGAATCAAACCCAGTTCTCCCAGATTAGAGTACACGCACTTAACCACTACACCAAACTGGCTCTCATTTAACGTTAGCCTTTTTCTCATTCTGCTCAGGCCCCGACTGAAAAGAAACAGAGAGTGGGTGTTACCTTGCCTATTCCTAGCTCTTCCCAGGAGCTACATCATCAGTTTTTTTCATATTGCTACAGCAGATATGGTCCCTCATCTGTAAGCCATGCAGTAACACAGTTATATCAAAGCAAAGAGAGACTGGCATTCCTGCCAAAGTATATTTGAGGAACATGGGAATGTCATCAAATTCTTTTTGTCATGATTCTAGGAGAGATTCTAGGGCGATACCACCTTGACAGTGAGTGCTCCAGAGTTAAGTGGCAAAGTTATATTGGAATGATATTTTGCAAAGGTTGAGCTAAGAATATCAATTTTTTCCTGGAAAACTGGGTTCATTTCCAAAGCAGGGTTGTGGGCCAGACAGTGGTCTCAGTTTCTCTGATGACAAGGTGATGCTATGGATCTCATCAAAGTTACTTCAGCTTTGTAACAGTGGAAGAAGGAAAGAGTCGTCAGCTCTGTGCCATTCAAATTCAGATGTTTATCTCAACTAGTATGAATAGAGAAAACTTTGAATGGTGTAATGAAAGCTCAGACTACTTATTAAAACACAGCTTGCCTCTTTTGGAAGCTGTTTAGCTTCAGCAATGCTTGTTACTATTCAAAGCAAGATTTGAACTTACAGCAAGTTTGCCAGGAGACTGAGCTACTACAAAGATATTGGTTGGTCTGCGATCAATATTCCATCCTATATCAAGCTGCTACTTGACAATTGAGCAGTGTGAAACCAAGCCCAACAACCTGACTTCTGCATTTTGCCAAAAGCTTTTCCTAGTCAAAGGGGATTTTGGCAGTGAATCATACTGTTTATTGTGCATCCACTGATGCGACACCCACTAAGCAATTATGACAGTTGATTAATACACAAGTGGTTTTTATATCCCTCACAGACTCCTGCTTTGCATCTCTGTGTTCAGCCTTTATTTTGTTTATAACCACTCCATGATGGCACACTGGATACTATGTACTAATTTAAGTACATAGTACAAAGTTAAAGCTTGGTAGAACCTCTTCACTGTATGAAATGAAAATTTGGGTTCACTAAAACCAGTACCAGATTTGTATCAATGGCAACCTTGTCAAACTGCTATAAGACATCTTCCCCTTAATTACAAATAAGTTTTCTCTGACCCAGTTCTGTAACAGTGCACCATAAATAACTAACAAGCTCATACTATTTGAGTGCCAAATGACATTTTCTAAAGAGGATTCCTTGTGAACTCTAGCTGTATTTGTAATTTAAAAAACTAATCACAGCACACAGAAGGAATGTTGGCAAAAGCACATACCTTGAATGAGATTACAAAGAAATCTCTCATAGCTCTTGGGCAATTCTCACATTGGACAGCCAAGTTCCAAGCTCATAAGGAGAATGAGAAGAAAGACCAGAATTAAAAACTGACCAACCAGTCAATCTGTTCCTAATACAAAGCTTTGTCTATTCCAACAGACAATGTAAGTTCAATAGTAACTTCCAACAACATAAAACATACAGTTAGCATAAACAGCCAACAAATGACTGCTAAGCTTCAGTGTTATATCAGTTATTTCGTGTCAATAGTTGATAATTTTGTCAACACACATATTCACAGTATAATGCAACATTTCAAACACTAGCAGGAACACACACCCTCAATTATATTGTTTCTGTGTGATCCATATGACCGTATTTTATCTCTTTCAATGCAGATGAGGTAAATGTGGAGTAAATGTTCATAACACAAAATCAGTGGCTGATCCAACTTCCATGTGTGCAGATCTCACAAATCTGAAATGTGTGAGACGATCCACACTGTTCATCATACTAGTTCAAGAAATGGTCCACTGCATTTGGTCTGGTCAGGAAAGTAAGCTTGCATGCTGTGTTATTAAGACTGCATTAACAAAGATTTCAATCTTGTCAACAGAGTGGCTTCACTAGGATTTATATTCTTTTTTATTTTATTTTATTTAAGTGTAAGTGCAAATGAACATGAAATTGAGCAAACTTCAGAGGACGGCGGAAGACAGGAGGGCCTGGCGGGAGCTGGTCCATGGGGTCGCGAAGAGTCGGACTCGACTGTGCGACTGAACAACAACAACAACAAAAAGTGCAAACAAAAGAATTTCAACATTTAAGTAACATACAACGCAGAATTTTAACAGCGTAACAAGACAAATAGGCTAACATAAGCTTCAGAACAGAAGGGATAATGATGCAACAAGAAGGTATCACGCGTTGCCTGAGAGTACTATATACTGGTATGGACATGAACATGAGCATGAACATGAATAACTAGGGTCATCTAGAGTGCTGTGTTGTCAAAGATTCAAGAGTGTTGCTTAGTTAAAAATGAAGCCACGATGCAAAGTTCGAATTTTTTGGCAGGATAGGATTTGGATTCCAGTCTGTGAAGTGGAAACATTTCAGTCTTTTCTCTAAATGGCCTTTTTTCCCTGTAACTCCAACACTGCCACCTACCTATCTTCCTGAACCAGTGAGCTTCACTGACTCCTGTGTCCAGTGTCTTGCTTTCTTCTCTAATTGGTGCGTCAAGTCTCTGGAGAGCTAGAGCAGGAACATGTAGCATCCAATAAACTGCATGCATTATAAACACTCTGAAAATACTCTAGAGGGCCAGTGTGGTATAGTGGCTAGAGCACTGGACCAGAATTGAGAAGACCTGAGTTCAAATTTCCCACTCTGCCATGAAGCTCAATCACTCTGGCCATTTCCACCCAGGTAATTTACCCTAGGTGCAGCACTGTTAGGAAGTGGGGGGTTTTCCTACTTGCACACAGCATTGTGCTACATTTGTGCTACTTCCAGAATTTTCCTGATTTTTCCCAAACCTGCTTTGCTTTGACGTTTTGGGACAAATTGTAGTAAAGCCTGGATGGCAGCTGGGTGGAAAAGTTTGGATTTTCCCAGGCCTGCCTACATGGCAGTCAGTTTCTCTACAGCTGCCATTTTCTCACTCTGCTACTGGTTTCTTTTTTTTAATCTGCAACTGAATCTCATTATAACATTATGTGAAGAAATGCATTTTTTCTTTGGAGATTTGAAATGAGCAAAACCTTCACTCTGACTTTTAAAAGTTTTTTCTCTCTCTCTGGGCAGAGAACAGGGAGGAGGAAGTCAGTTAATAGCTTTACAGGCTCGCTTCGGATACCTCTTAAGAAGTGCTAACAGATCTAGCTAGAAACAATTGGATGGGCCAGTCCCATCCCCACCCCACCCCCCCGCCCAGAACAGAGACTTGGAGGAATTAAGACTAGAAGGATTTCAGGAAGAAATTTCTGGAGACATTAGGAAAACCTTCCTTGACCTGGTTTGACCAGATCAGTGGGAGGGAAAAGAGAGGTGATAAAACTCAGGGGAGCAGGAAGGAAGCACTCTTTTGTGCTGAATCTATCAGAGCAGACAGAGCTCTTAACTGAGGTCTGGAGGAGGCAGCCATTAGCCCTGTGTTGGCCTGAAGAGCTGAAGGAAGCTTCAAGATAAGAAAATTCTGTAGAGATCTGTAACTTCCTAAACTAAGGAGCCTGTGACGACCCCTTATCTGGGGAGGTCTGGTTTCCCTTGAAAGTGTTCTTTATGTTTTGTTTTACTGTGTATATCCGGCTGCCACCAGGAAATGTAAGGCTTTCCAAACCTGTATACTATACTGTTTCTATCACTGGGTAGGTAGGTCGAGGTTTTAGGCTTTCGAGGTGCTAATGTGGTCCTGGGAAGTATTTCTTTCAGAACTGGTATCTTAAATAAAAGTAGATTTATTGATATAATTCATAAATAATATGGTAGTACACTGTAACTAGGAATGGGTAAATACTAAACAATTGCTTTGATATTTCACACACTTTTCTCTCTCCCTGTCAGGGATCTTGGCATGTAACTTTGTAACACTTTTTTCCTTAAAGCCATATACGTTTACTGTTTCACTTTAGCCTGTCACTCAGACTTTTTATTTTTCTCTTTAACTTTACTTTCTTGTTTCATATACATTCAACTTTTCTTCATACACAGAAATAACTCCTAAGCACACACAAAACTGCTTCTCTCCCAGACTTCAGAACTAACTCCTCAACTGTCTTCATCAACTGTCTAAACTGTAACTGTCCCTCCTGAAGGACATACCCATTCATCCACTCAGAAACACTTTCTAAAACCCCTCCCCCTCTCTGTCAATCACCAATCACACCACACTTGTCTCTTCAAGCACTCTAGTCCATCACACAGCCATGCAACCAAACTTTTAAAGACACACACACACACACATAAAACAAGGAATCATTACAGAGCCTGTCCTATATTCTAACATCTGATAGGACATGTATAGAGAGAAGGACAGATGAATTGTGTTTTACCCATTTGTTTTCAATCCCTTGTTCAATCTGGTGCTGCGCTAAAAATATGCTTGTGAGCATTTTCTCTTTAATAAATACTTTGGATGCTGTCAGTGATTCTCTGTACCACATAGCCTCTACCATCCTGGACACGCTACTTTAAAAGGAGTCCTGGGGGAAGGCAGGCAGTTGGCAAGTGGCTATTCCTCCAGGGGCACACAAGGCAGCAAATGGTCCCCATGGTGACCAGGCACTGGGCAGCGGGAGACACAGAGGCAAGGCCTCAGAATTTGGAAGGGAAGCTGGGAGTCCTGACCCTCCCCGCAGACAATTCCTACAAAGGTCAGGTGGTGGCAGGTTACTGGAGAGACAGAGAGAAGCCTCTCCGGGTGCTGAGAAAATCTTGGAGGGCAGGGTGGAACCAGAGCCTGCAGGCCTGTTCCGCCACACATTACCCCAATGTTTTTCTGGAAGCCATTTTTTAAATAAGGTGTGAGCGTGCTGTGATGCCACCAATGGCACCACGGATGGCAATAGCACCCTTCCTTGAAAATCCTCATTATTGAAGGCACATGCGGAAGTAAATAAACTGTCTCCACAACTGTGAAAATGCACAGAGAAGGCAAATGTGTGGAAGAACCGTGCCCAAACTGATTACAAAGAATCAGGAGTAAGTTGAGTGTGTGGGAAAGCCCTATGTGTAAGAGATTCTCTGACTTCCCAGCTTTGATTTCTTTAAAATGAATCTCTAGTGCTTTCATTGCAATTCTATAAAGCAAAGAGAATTTTTTTGTCAATAAAAGGGGCTAAAGACTAATTCACAGAACCTGTTGCACATCTGTTATATATATCAATATAAGGATCTTCAGTTGGCCAATTAAAAACAAAACAAAACTGAAAAAGCCCTGGTGGTATGGGGTGGAAGGTGAATGGCCACTGCCAGGGGAGCAAGGAATCTGCCATGTGGAAGCTTTATTGCAGCAGTGCTCTACTGGCAATTGTAGCTGCAGTGAAGAAACTATCCTTGCCTGTTAATGTGTGGAGAATGTCTTTCTTAGTCAGCCTAACCTAACAGTGGTATTGTAAAAAAAATGGATGAGGAAAGAATCATAAGCTCTATAATTCCAGGCAGAGTAAAAATTTAGATAGGTTGTTTTCCTGAGATTTTTAAGTGTATACTACGGTAGGTAAGTACCTGTAATGGAACTGAACTGGAATAGGTGGCCCTTTTCAGCTGGCACTTACTAGGGTCAATAAGAGGCAAGAAAATACAGCTACGTACCTGCAGTCAAATATGTCAGAAGGGTTTCCATATCGTTCGTTCTAACAAATGGAGGAAAAAATGGAATAAGTTATCGAACTAAATGCTATAGAAAAAAGGAAAATTGACCCCCCACTGCTGTTAGAAAGGCAGTTATAAAAGTGCTTAACTGCTGTTACAAATGCTTTACAATTACATTGCATCTTTAGAGCAGTCATGTGAGGAAGATCACTTAATTTTCACCATATGGATGAAGAGCAGGAACTGACAGACAGTGGTGTTTGTCCAAGGCTTCAACAGTGAGTCAATATGTAAAGTGAGATCTGAAACTGGAGTCCAAGATACAACAGAATGCTAGAGCTTTAAGGGGAGTATGTTTTATTGATTTTATTATGCACACATACTTCTATCTTTCTTACTGATTCAAGGCACATATATCTTGTACAAAGTTGATAACAAGGGTTATAAGAAATGCACTTACATCTCCTCCTGAGATTTCACTGTGATCTTGGACAACACAAGTCGAATCAAACATCTGTAAGCAAAAGAAATTGCACAAATAATCCTGTTAGTCAAAGCACCAGCCTTTCTTCAAGATCTCTAATTTTTCCTTTGAATTTTCATCAAGACTGAGCGCTCCCTTTTTGCACCATTCCAGTATGTGAGTACTCTTCTAATGATGTACATCAGCAGAAGGATTCTAGCTACCATTAAGTGTAGGTGCATGTAAATTCAGAAGAACGGGAATCATGTATATCTTTAAAATTTGGTCAAAATGTATTGTAGTTTCTGCCCAGATACAAGCTAAGGAGCAAAGTACTTGTAACATCAGAGTTCCATGACTGGAATATCAGATGTTAATTTCTGCCCAGAAATAGATGCTTGATTTAGATCAGGATTCAGTACTGACAAGGAGTAGTGAGTTAAACCCCCCCCCCCCATTTCCCCAATTTGGACATACCCCCCAGCTACTTTATGCTTAATAGTGAAAAAGACATTTGCCTAATAAGACAAAGCAGCCAATGGAAGTAAGGGGAAATTCTGATCAAGGAATAGTGTACAGGGAGTGGAGAGTCCCTGTCCTTCCCTATGGTTCTGATCCAAATGACACATTCACCATGTGGCTGCATTTCAGGAACATAATACACCTCTGGAGTTCCAATTATGGAACTCTGGTATCACAAGCAGCTAGAGGTATTATGAGCCAGGACTCACATATGACTAATCCATTCAGTCAACTGCATCTGTTACTAAAAGGAATATGAAATTAATCAGTTCGATAAAGTTAATATATCTCTGCATCACTTGATAACTTTAAACTGACTAATTTCATTAATGTAAACATAAATTGTAACTCACTTTAAAGCAGTAAGTGCTTGCTGATTGTCTTGCAGGAGCTGAGATAACAACTCCAAGGCTTTAATAGCCACAGACTGTTGCTCATTCTGGGGACGAAACGAAATATAGTTATTACTAAACGTAAAGGACAAGTAGTCCCTGTATCATTTTAGGCATAATATGAATCTCAAACTATACAATTTCATCTCTGTAATGCAAAGTCAAGCAATGATATGACCAAATTAGTAAGGGAATCTTAAAGTGTAACCTACAATGGAACATAGAGGGTCCTAAAAATATTATAAGTATACTCTAATTTAACAAAAACTGGACCAGAAAATACTATCCAGAACTACTGAATTAATCTGAGTTTGGCTTACCATAAAGTGTTTAAATACAATGACTTTATGTTACAGACAGCCATGGTGGTGGTAGAAAGTGCTGCCGAGTCACAGCCGACTTATGGCAATCCCTCGGGGCGTTTTCAGGGCAAGAGACATTCAGAGGTGGGTTGCCATTGCCTGCCTCCACATAATGACCCTGGTATTCCTTTAAGGTCTCCCATCCAAATACTAACCAGGTGTTGGCTAAAGAAAATGTCCTTACAATATACCAGCACAGACTTCTTTATCAGAGATATATAAAAGATGCCCACAATTATAACAGTTATCTCTTACTGGTCTGACTACAGCACATAAAGGAAATCTATGTGCAGGAGAAATGCTAGTTAGACTCTACATGAGAATAAGATTTTATTAAGAAAGATACAGAATTATTCCAATTTAAATTCACTGATTTCAATTGGTTTTGACTGGAGTAACTATGCACAGGATTGCACTATTAAGGTTGTAATTGTTATGTACATTTTTTGTTTGCACATGTATGCTGCATTTTTTTCTAGGCAAATTGATACAAAAAGACCTCTGTTAAAAATCCTTGATGCTACCAGGGCAGCCAACTTGTTTCAAAAAGAATTACTTGGCATCAAAAAAGAACCACTGATAAACTGAATTATGCGATGCGATCTGAAGAGAAACCACTGAATTATAGTGTTGCAAATTAAAAATGAAGTAGTAGTACTCTGGAGTAACCTGGGCTGAGTCAGACCAGAGCAAATTCAGAAAGAAATAAAAGTCAAGGATACCCCAAATCTAAAAATAAACTATTCAGTTGACCCTTTTTGGTACCTCCAAGGCAATCTGGGCTGTTAAACTTAGAAGGCTGGTAGCCATGACGCCATCTGTTAATAGTGTATCCAGCTGCACTGCTGACTTCCCCATCGCTACAATGGCATCAAAAGCTAAGACAATACAAGAACAAGTCAATAATAATAATAATAATAATAATGGATAATATAAAGCTTCTTTATACTAAATCTGACTACAGGCCAATGTTCTCTGAATGGCACTGGCTCTTCACGATCCCAGACAAAGTTCTTTCCCAGCAGCCAAGAGCCTTAAATGTATTGTTTACTTACTTCATTTATCTGCCTTTCTTGTTGGGATTCCAGGCATATGACAGTATAAAAATTTGCAATAAAGACAGTATAATACAATGAATACTGGAATAAATCTGGTTTAATCAATTAAAGAACAATGAAATAGAAAACATATAATACATTACATAAACTTCAAAGCGACAGCTTTTATGTTACACATAAAACAGGAGCTGTGCCACTGAGCTACAGTCCCTTCACTGGTTTCTGAAGTTTTCAGCTGATTTTCTTAAGGCCCGTGGGTACCATCAACTGCAAAGAAATTCTTCTTTACAACAAATATTCAGTATGAAGGTATATGCATGTTTTGGGTCAGTAACACACTAAACCCCTGATGTAATCTCTTCAAAGAACACTACTCTTGACTAGAGTAGGCATCATGTGGTACCTAAGCCATTAAGAACGTACCTAAGCCAGAATAAGGTATTTTACCATTTAGCAAATGTGGAGTAATATATAACAAATCAGTATCAAAGGGACCAATCTTAAGCAGGTCTACTAAGAAGTAAGCCCTATGTTATTCCAGCGTTCTTAGGACAGCAGCTAAAATCTCTTAATGCTGTGTTCCTGCAATACAATGATCTTTGATCCAAAGGAGTTAGCTGTGTTAGTCTGTTGCTTTAAAACAGTAAAAACCTCGGTAGTACCTTTAAGACAAAGACAGCTGTGTTTCTTGAAAGCTTATGCTACAGTAAAGTTTGTTAGTCTTAAAGGTGCTACTGGGCTTTTTACTATTTTACGGTGATCTTTGACACAGATGTTTCATATATTGAATGAAGGGTACCAAATAGTAAAATATCAGACTGTATCATCATATTCTAATAGCTCCTCATGGCCTCAATTTGTGGATAGCTAAATCCACAGATCAGGGCCACACGGAGGCTAAAGAGATCTTTCTGCACATTTGGGGGACTCCCCAAGTGTGCATAAAAATCTGAAATGTTTAAAAAATACATGAAGGGTTAAATTCCCCACAGAGACTCTCCCCTGCTGCTGCTCTCTGCAGCTCACCCAGAGCAGCTCCAGGCAAGCCAGCATAGTCTCTCCCTCTCCAGTGAGCTGCACCCCTCCGGGAACTCCACACCGGACTGGGGGGGGGGATGGGATTCCCTGTCCTGCAAGTCTTGCATGTCTCCACTGCTAGTCCATAAACTAATAGCAATCAGCCAAATCTTTGGATACTTAAATCTGGTGACTGGAGCTGTGAACAGGCAAAACAAATCTTTCTACAAACCTGAAAAGGGCCCCAGGTTTGCAGGAAATGGAGAAATATAAAACAATAACAAAAACTGGGGGTTTAAAAAACCAAAAATGATAAAAGGACCATGTCTTTCAGCCTAACCTACCTTAAAGGATCATTGTGAGGAGAAAAAAGGAGAAGAGGAGAATAATGTAAGCTGCTTTGGTCTCTACTGTGAAGAAAGGTGGAGTATAAATGAAATAAATAATATAGCTGAAGATGGGAGGCAGATAAAAGGCAGCTTAGTGAATGGCTGAGAAGGAGAGAATAAGGCAGGGGAAAGGGCGAGGACATGGGGGTTGACAGGAGGGGGAAGAGTGGGGGGGGTATTGCTTACCTGTAACTGATGATCTTCGAGTGGTCATCTGTGCATTCACACCCATGGGATCTAGTGCGCACGCGCTGTATCGATCAGCATTGTAGCAAGCTCTTAACGGATTTTCGCGCCCAGACCTCGGGCATGCGTAGGAACCCCACCGCGCATGCCCAGAGGGGTGGGCGCGGACATCCCGCCAGTTCCTTCTTACCGCCGCATATCAATCCCTATGGAAAATGTAGAAGCTGACAGCAGCGGGGAAGGAGGGCGGGTGGTGTGAATGCACAGATGACCACTAGAAGATAATCAGTTACAGGTAAGCAACATGTTTATCTTTGACGTGGTCTCTGTGCTTCACACCCATGGGAGATTAGCGAGCAGTGGCCTACCTGGAGGAGGGTGCTGGCAGGTCCTTACTGCGTAGCCGAAGATAGAATGCGACGTCTCATGTTGGTATTAGAGTTCTTACGGACGTCTAGGGCATAGTGCCTTATGAAGGTGTTAGGTGTAGCCCATGTAGCGGCTTTGGAAATGTCCGTCAGGGGCACTCCGTGGAGGAAGGCAGTGGAAGCTGCAACAGCTCGGGTTGAATGGGCCGTGATACGGCCAGGCAATGGCTGTTTGGCGATCAGGTAGCAGAGGCGGATGAGCCCCGCAATCCACTTTGAGAGGCGCTGAGCCGTGATGCGAGTCCCCAGCCTTACTGGTGTGTAGGAGATGAACAGTTGGGAGTCACATCTCGATGGCCGGGTTCTGTTCAGGTAGAACAGGAGCGCACGCTTCACATCCAAGGTGTGCAACAGTCTGTTTTCTGAGGATGTTGGAGCCGGGAAGAAATACAGGAGGAGGACATCTGCCTGTAGGTGGAATTCTGACACCACCTTTGGCAGGAACGAGATGTCAGGTACGAGGCGGGCACAGTCTGGAAAAAAGGACAAGCAAGGTGTGTCATGTCTGAAAGCCAGTGTTTCTCCAACTCGCCTCACAGCAACTAGAAAGGCCGTCTTCCACGACAGGAATTTTAGGTCGTAAGTTGCAAGTGGCTCAAAGGGTTTCCTCGTGAGCTGACGAAGAACTAGAGGAAGGTCCCAGGGAACGACAGGAGTTTTTATTTTTATTTATTTATTTATTTATTTATACTTTCGATTTCTTACACCGCTCTAATCCCAAAGGTTCTCTGAGCGGTTTACATTGCAAATTACCAATTCTAACTAGGGCCACATAGTATTGGCGGGAGGGGAATACCTAACAGGCACCCTGCCGGTTCTTTGTCGATCTCACAGCGGATCACCTCTCCTTTGATTCTGCGCTGTAGGTGTCTTTTTGTTTTTGGCTTGGCTCCGCAGCGGCTCCTTCTGGGCAGTTCTGTTGTTCCGCGACTGTGCGACGGCCTCCTTTCCTTGGCCTGTTCTGATAGGCTCCGGCCGAGCTGTGCCATCGCTTCGTCACGTCTCTGGGCCAGTCCCCGCCTTGGAGCACTTGCTGCTCGATGTTAGATACACCGCCATTCTTCGCTGAATCGCCGGATCGCCCCGTCGCCGACACCGTTACTCCTCTCCATCGCCGCTCCACCGGAAGGCGGGTGCCCCCCTGCAGCTAGGTAGGTACCCATTTATCTACTCACAAGCTTTCGAACCGCTGGGTAGGCGGGAGCTGGGACAAGGGCCAGGAGCTCACCTGGGCCACGATGGGACTTGAACAATCTTGTTCGTAGATAGATTACCTGCAGGCATAGATTACCTGCCTGCGCCACCGCTCCCTTGTATGGGAGGGTATAGGTGCAACAGTCCCTTCAAGAAACGTTTCAAAAGCGGATGCAAAAACAGTGTGCATCCGTCAACTTGAACATGGTAGGCTGAAAGTGCAGCCAAATAAACTCTTAACGAGGAGTGAGAAAGTCGCAAGTCAGCTAGAGACAGGAGGAATTGGAAAACTTTCTCGAGGCCTACGGAGGTGGCTCGAGGGGCATCGTCACCCAAGGAGGAACAGAATTTTCGCCATTTGTAATGGTACGACTTTTGCGTAGTAGGTTTTCTGGTGTTTAGTAAAACATTTGCTACGCGGGTGGAAAAGCCATTGACATTATTCTCCAGGCTCTCAACTTCATCCGTGGCACGTCGTGGTACAGGAGAGGGGAGTCGGACAGGAAGAGGAGGTCCTGTGCCGAAGGAAATTGGTGGTAGATCCCTGCTGACAATTTGAGGACGGTCGAGAACCATGGTTGCCTCGGCCACCACAGGGTTATCAGGATGCAGTCCGCTCCGTCGCTGATGATTTTGCGGACTACTCTCAGAAGCAGGGGTAGTGGAGGGAAGAGGTAGAGAAGTTCCCTGGACCAAGGATAGAGGAGACCATCCCCTAGAGACTGTGGGTCCCTGCCGCCTTGGCTCTGGTGGCAAAAACATCGACTTGGGGAACTCCCCACCTGCGGAAGAGTGGTAGAAGGTAGGTTGGGTTCATTTCCCACTCATGGAGACTGAGTCCTGCTCGACTTAGATGGTCTGCCTGCACATTCATGTGTCCTGGGATGTGCGTGGCTACTAAGAAGATGTCGTGGGCGATGTAAAGATCCCACAACTGGATGGCAAGGTTGCAAAGTGCCCCCTTTTTTGTTGACATAACTGAGTGCAGTGGTGTTGTCCGTGAGGACCGTAACACATTTCCCCTTGATCATTGGTAGGAAACTCGTGACAGCGAACTGTATTGCAAGTAGTTCCAGGAAGTTTATGTGCCGTTTGTGTTCGTGAGTGTTCCACTTGTCTCCGACACAAAGACCCATCATGTGGGCACCCCAGCCCGACAGGGAGGCATCTGTGGTTAGGGTGATTTGGGGTAATGGACGATGGAAAGGTGCTCCCTGGAAGAGATTGGAAGGAACAGTCCACCAAAGTAAGGAGACTCGTATGTTGTACTTGAGGATAAACCACAGTTGTAGGCGACGCATTCTTAATCTGGCAAAGACCAGGACTGACGTAGTTGCGGCCATAAGGCCAAGTAGCCTCTGTATTTGGAAAGCCGTGACTGACAGCTGGGTACGGACGACATTGGCTAGGTAAATGATGTCTGCCGCTCTGTCTTGTGGCAGGTAAGCCATGCAATTGTTGAAATCTATTTGGGCACCAATGTACTGTATTTTCAGAACTGGTTGAAGTTGGATACGGTAGCCTCAGGTCAAGATGGACAACACCCGTTAGTCCGTGGTGATATGATGCCAGGTGTGAAGGAAGGGTTTGAGCTGACTCGGTGGGA